ACTTCATAACCATGAATGATTGTTGTTTCTTCAAATGAGCATTTTTCAACATAACGGGATCACGTTTTAACCTCCTTCCTAATTGCCAATAGCGTGGGGGAAGCAAAATGTAGGGGTAGATAATGGAAACCTATGATATTACTTTATGTTTACAGTGGGGGTATACGGTACGGAGACCGTATTTGCAAAATCCGAGCAAAGGGTTCACGGGAGAGTTTTTGCCTGATGTAACGTTCGGCTGTGGTTCGTGTTCAGTGCAACCAGACACACTCTTAATTGTCAGTTTTTTGGATTTTGAGAGACTATATCTTATGTTTACTATTAAATTTGTCTTTACAGGAAAGGACAAGTTCAAAATTTATTACTTACCCTTCTGGGCTCGCCTAGGATCCAATGGACCTAAAAAACTACAACTGTGAGGATATATCAAATATGAAACAAAGGAGGGATAATATAGAAATGATCCCAGGTTTTAGTGCCTTTCAGATTACTGATCGGTTCTGGTCTGGTTGTAAACAAGAAACCAATATATGGGTTATAGGCTGGCATGGCATCTAATATGTGACCTAAATGCCAAGCTGTTTTCTTGTGGGTCAAATAGGTCCAGGATTCGGAATTCACATCCATCTCTTAATTTTGTATAATTATATTGGAAGAAAAAAAAACATTTCATTATTAGAAACAAAGGTGGGGAAATGGAGAAATGAAGTTGTTCACTCGACTGGATGACTTTTTCAACCAGCTGAGACCTGCCAGTGTTGCACCATCAGCAGCAGGAGTTTGGTCCTTAATGAAATTTATGATACCATCTGGCAGTACTGCAATTGAATATACCATTTATGTCGAGGATGTATTGACTGCAGGCAGGAAAGCTTCGTAACCTTTTTCTCATGCATTCAATGTGAAGAAAGTTGCTCATATCTATGACTCAAATGGCCAAATAATCAGACACAAGGTCCTGGAATGTCATTTTCAGCAGACAGCTTCCAAACCAAGCACAAACTTGTAACTACCTTCTTCATCACGGGTCAGCCATGGTCTTCTTCCCAACCGGCTGAAAGAATAACAGGCACAATATTTTATATAAAGCCATGGAGGATATTTCAAAGGGAGCCTTCTGGTCTTGTATCTAGGGTGGGTTCAGGATCTGAAGCTTCTGCAAGAGATTCCAGCATGTTTACAACCTCAGCTGGGTCATCCAAATAATACTTGGCTTTGCTAGGTTTCTGGCCTACTGTGCAAGCAAAAACGGATGTATTTGAGGAGAGGACACCACCAGAAATCGCACTACTTACGATCTCAAACATATCCTCATCAGATCTGTCATCCCCAATGCAGAGAACGAAATCAGCCTGCTTTCCACTCTCAGCCATGGTCGTGAAGACAACCACACCTTTACCGACTCCCTAAAAGCAACAGTAAATGTTGATTCAACATCATGCATTCATCCAATCGCAAAACCAAAGTCATTAGATAACAAAATAACCAATTCAAAAACCGAGGTTTACTTGTTTCATTTCTATTTTATGATTTTCTTAACCTTACTGCACAAAAGTATTTCCTCTTATTATAAAATACTGCCTTAGTAACCTAAGAAGTAATAAACTTACAGCCTAAGTATAGGACTAAGGCAAACTAATCTACTATTACATTTACCATAAAAAGCATGCTGAAAAAAGAATACCAAAAATAAATAGATACCTGTGGTTTCACTTCGACAATAAACTGACCACTTTTCACAGTCACAGGTTCATTGGCTAATACACTCTCAAGATGGTCCAACATCTCCTTGGCCTGGCTAGATCCAAACCCAGGGTCTGCATCGCAATGGTGCCAGACCAAAGCACTCTCCTTGGTTTCAATAGTGGAGCCATCAGTGGCCTCTATAGTCTATACAGTTTCATTACAGGCTCAGCTTTCTCCTTCCACTCAAATTCACTATTCTGCCCACAAACTTCCCAAACATCATTAGCAGACCACCTGAAATATCAACAACTTCACAAGTGCACCTACAAAAGAAACGCTAAGATGGAAAAAACATAGCCAAACAAAAAACATCACACCTCATGAAATAACCATGTTCAGCAGCAATTCCAAGTTTTTTACATGGAGAAAACCATGGGGCTAAACTGTCTCTTCCTCTTCCACTTACAACAAAGACAGTATTCTTAACATCACCAGAGTGTGTTTATGATGGAGATTACCTCTGCACTTGGAGTCTTGTTATGTGATGCTTGAGGCATTACTCTTCCATCATAGTCTAATAGTATAGCCCTGTTTTTGGACCTCAGATACACATACAATGTGATCAATAGACAACTTTTTGAAGTTTGGATCAAGAGCTACAATTCTGAAGTTGATTCTTGTGGCGAAGCTGTTTCTCAGCATTAGCCATAGAGATAGCCTCATTCATTGCCTCGGAAGTTGATTCAATATTCCAAGGATTTACCCGAATTGCACCACTGAGTGAAGGAGAGCAACCAATGAATTCTGATACAACTAGCATGCTCTTCTTGGTCCCATTAGATTCTGAGGAAGGCTCTGAATCAGAGACTCCCTGCCGACACACAATGTACTCATAAGGAGTAAGATTCATCCCATCCCTCACAACTGTAACCACAACACACTCAGCGACACTATAGTAAGCAACCCTTTCACTCAAGGATACAGGCCTATCAATGAAGACAATTGGTTCACAACCAGGTTGACCAAAAGCCTCATTAATTCTTTTGCAGCTTTCCTGTATTTTGGCCTGTATCTCCTCAAGATCTTTCCCTCTTCCCCTAGCAGGGTTTGTAATCTGTACCAGAACTGCTCTCCCCTGCCACTTGGGGTGCTGTTTCAGCATCTGCTCCATTGCCAACAGCTTCAAGTTGACACCTTTAAAGACATCCATATCATTAACTCCAAGCAATACGGTCTTTCCTTCAAACTGTTGTTTAAGCTCTCCTACTCTCCAGTCATCCGCAAGTCTCAATACAGACTCAAACTGCGACATGTGGATTCCAACAGGCATGATCTTTATCCCAATTGTTCTTCCAATAGTATTCTAGCCCAATGTAACCCCTCTTTGACTGATACTCTAAACCAAACATGCGACTACAACAAGACAAAAACTGCCTAGCATAATCAAAAGTATGAAAACCAATTAGGTCTGAATTCAAGAGTGCCTTTAGGATCTCTTCCCTCACAGGTAAAGTCCTATATATCTCAGATCAAGGGAATGGACTATGAAGAAAAAACCCATTCTCAATCTTTTAAACCTTCCCCTCAAGAATGGTGGCAGCACCATCAAATGATAGTCATGGATCCAAACATAATTAACCCTTTGAGAGAAAATCTTGTTTGCAGCAACATATGCCTCCCACAAAGACCTATCAAACCTGCCTCTATGATTTGTCGAAAATGGAAGCATATAATGGAAAAGTGGCCACAAATGCTGTTTGCAGAAACCGTCATAGATCTTGTTCAAAATGTCAGGTGGAAGAAATGCAGGGACGCATTTAAACCTATCCAACAAAAGCTGTGACACATCATCTTGTCCTTTGGGATCAACATCAACCTTCAAAGAACCAACATACAAAACCTCCATTTCTTCAGGCAAACCATCTTTTAATTGTAATAACAACGAATCATCGTCCCAAGTAAAACTCCACCCTTTATTATCAGGTCTACACTTAGCTTTAACTGGTAGTTAGTTGATTAGCTCCGATAATAATTCTGTCCTGAAAAACCGAAGACTGCACATCTGAGGCCACACTGTTTGCTTGGCCATCGTCAAGCTCTTAAATAACACCAGCAACGGTCATTACTCAAGGCAGCCGCTTCTTTTCACGAGGTTGACCCATTACGGGGAAATTACCAGATGCTAGATCTAAAAGATTGGTATACGACCTTGACATCATCTTTAATCTCTTTCTTTAGTTATTACCCTTTAGAAGAATCAATCAAAATAGACCTCTTAACTATAAACGATGCCCCTCAATAATTTTGCTTCTCTTCCAAAATTCCTCTTTTAGTTTGGGTTGATCTGCATTAGGTATCATAAAAAACATCAACTTTACAAAAACAAGAATACATGAAACAAAGTAAACCCATAAACGAATTAGATCCCAACTAAAAAAACAGAAAAAACTAAGAGATTTATCTAAACGAATATTGTATCAAAATTTAATCTATAGAAAACCCAGATGACTCCAAAATAATGGGGGGAAATATGAAAAAGAAGGAAACACTGAAACCAACCTTTGAAAGCACAAAGGTTGTGTTTTTAATGGAACCTTTGGATCCAAATACGAAAGTAAGAGGATAAAATGGAAGTTACTTGAAAGAGAAAAATATCTAGAGTATGTTATGGTCCTCTCTTTATCTCAACGATCCACGTTTACACTCCCTTCTTTTTCTATCTTTCATATCTTTTTTTTTAAAGATAAAATAAAATCATTTTTGGATTTGTTTTCCCTCATCTCGCTTGCAAATTGCAGATGCTGTTGACACTGTAATGCCGACCCGTTTATGAAAAAACCATGTGATGTCAGCCATTAATTCGTGGCCATTCGATTAACCAAGTTTCATCTTAGCGCTTCTTTTCTATTAAATGGTTGAGCGAGTTGCCGGTAACACGAAATGAAAAGGGTAACTAACATTCACCATACGCCCCTAATTTATGTTGTGTGTTCAGAAAAAAACGGATCACTTTTTCTAAAGTTACAATTTAAATCATATAATTAAAATATTATTACAAATAGATCACTTATAATTTATAATAATTTTTTAAATATTCTTTTTTAAATAATTTTCATATTTATAAAATATGTCATGTTATTCCTGAGCTTTTGACAGTTCAATTTATAATTTTATTTTTACATGGAAAATTTATGAATGTATTTAATTTTCATACATAAAAAATAATTTACTCATCCATTAAAAAAGTAAGATCTTATAAAAGCACTTTTTGATGTAAAAACACTTTTTTCACCTTTAATCTATAAATTATTTTATTAGTCAAAGGCCGGTATCTTGTCTTCTTCCAACTTCACCACAGAATTCATAGACGGTCGTCTTGTATGATCTTCATTGACGCACCAAATTCCGAGCAATATCATGGCATTAACTTCTTCGAAGTGTTGTTGGACATCTACATTCTGAAGCTCAATGATATCCATTAATCGACTCTCCATCCGTATCTTGTTCAGCAGTTTAAGCAAACACACATCGGAATCGGGTTGACTGTAATCTAAAATCATCCTTCCAGTCACAACTTCAAGTACAACTATCCCAAAGCTATAAATGTCGGTTTTCACCGAGATTCTCGCGTGTTGCCACTCGGGCGCCAAGTACCCCAACGTGCCTCTCATCCGTGTCACTACTTCACTCTCGTCCCTGTTAATCAACTTGGACAGCCCAAAATCAGAAATTTTGGCATTGAAAGCATCGACAACAAGAATGTTTTGGGGCTTCACATCTAAATGAGCAATCCTCTGTCTGCAATCACCATGGATATATGCTAACCCTTTGGTTATATCCGGGACAATCTTCTTCCTCGTTTTCCAATCAAGATAGAAGCTACTGTTTCCATGGAAGATCCATTTGTCCAACGACCCTTTGCTCATATATTCATAAACTAAAATTCTGTGGCTCTTCGCCACATAGAAACCGATTAGCTTCACCAAGTTGATATGGTGTCTGTTCCCAAGTGTGTTCACTTCCGCTAGAAACTCTTCAATCCTTCCTTGCCCTGTGTTTTCGAGCCGCTTTACGGTAACCATTGTTCCACCCTTTAACTCCCCTTTATAAACCACTCCAAAGCCTCCTGTCCCTAGTCTTGTGGAAAATTTAGCAGTCGCAAAAGACATCTCACTGTACGGGAACCTTATTAGAGATCCCGCGATGAGTGAGTTAAGATGCGTCCGTCGTTGTCATGCACAGTTGATCTTCTTCCAAAGCGGGAAGCACAAAGCAACGACGACGACCATAGTTATCAGAAAGGAATATACTGCTAATGGGGCTTTCCCCAAAGAAGAATAGTGAAAGTTGATATATCCCTGACCCGGAGAGGAAACATTAAGCTTCAACTTCAAGGAAGTAACTTTTAAAATATGATGATAAATAACGCCCACTTACATGTGGATTTCCCATAAGTGAGAGGACCTGAGAATCGGAATACATATAACAAGATCCTTCATAGGCTATTTCCTTAGAAACAAAGAAGGCGGCTTTACAAGTTGTTTTGTCGTTACAGGCTTGCTTGCAACTTTCTTCAGCGTATAACTGAGAATTAGATGCCTTTGCATAAAATGTACCGAAATAGGAAAGATTCCCGAAATGAACCATTTCATAGTCAGTGGATACACCTTGAAATGTTATTAGGGGAGTGATTTCGTGACAAGCCGAGATGAGGATGTTGGTAATCCCTCAGTGTGAAGTAGTCTTTGCCGTCCAGTCCGATCGGACAGCCACAGGTACCCCATTTGCAAATTCCATATCTGCCAACACCTTAGTGGAGTCCAAAATTCGTCTGATTTGTTTGGCCAAAAGTAAATACTTCTCCATTGCTCTCCAGGGTTCCACCCATATATCCTTAGACCCCCATCCATATCCAATCTCAGGAACTGAATGGTTGTTGAATTTAAACTTGAATTTTCAACACTGAGAAACAGTAGTTATTAGATCCTCATTCTCTGTTTGGTAATAGAAACGCATCCCTCCCTTCACGAACTGAACAAATTTCAGATAACGGACCTCCAGCGTCCCGAGTACCGCAGAGAAGAGCCCATCTGCCCCAGCAGGTGCAATAGTTAGATACTGAGTTGGCTTGTCACCAGCCGAGAATGCAACAATGGCACGATAATTTAGAGAAAGGTTAAACAGGCTTTGTCTGGCATGGAAAGAAATGATTCTTGAAGTAAGCTGTTGGTTTGCCCTAATTACTTGCCCCAGAAGAAGAGTCAGTAGGATACTGGAAAGACTCCCAAACGAGTTGACTGCTTTCATTGAAGAGTATCATATTACCACTTCCATCGATGCTCATACCAACAATTTTAGACATACCAGATGGATAAGATGACCAAATTTCGTTTTCATGTTCGTCCATCAAAGACAAATTTCCACCTTGGTTGTATTTGAGGTTACATTTTCTCCAACTGGCCTGTTCCAATTTGCAGTCCAAACTACCTGGGGACGTCCATTTAAATCAACTTCACCATTAAGCATATCCACAAACATAATCGACAAGTCACAGTACCCGACGTAAGGGAAATTGCAATAGAACCCGAATCCAAAGCCAAAACTGGCCTTTCTACTTGTCTCCGTCTTGAAAAGTATAAAACGAGCCAGTGAGCCATCCGTGAATTGTGTTGCTTGAGGAAGGGATTGATTGTTGTTTGTCCAAGTTGTTCTGTTTCCATTAGAAAAAGATAGAGTTGAATCTGGCAGAAAAGCAACTACAAAACTCACAAAAAAGCTCGAGATAAGCATTGATTGCACCAAAGCAAAATAGGCCATGGTTCTTGTTGTAGAATCAGGAATGGCTCAACGATGGCAACCGATCGGCATAAGATTTATACAATAATTCTCATGTTCTTACGACTTCACAACCGGCAAACAATTTGTTCATTCCTTGTCTAGAAAGCATTAAACTCATAGAAATCATCGTTTAGCAGCAGAAGAGATACCACTTTAGCTCTTTCGACAACATAGAAATTTACAAAGTCACATGTCTGTTCTCCGGTGTGTTCATATTTTAAATGCATTCGGAAGCGGCTGTCTTAAAAAACTTCTGATATCTTGAAACTTATCTCTACTTGACAAATGAGACAACCAAAGATGACCTTTGAAGAGCAGAGAAAAGCCAATAGTATATACTTCCTTCACCTTCCTTAAGGTAACAAGTCTTCACATTTCCAAAATTTTCCTTCGAGAGCAGCACCATGCCTGCAAAAGATAATGTTCGAAAGATTCATCGACAATCCTCAACAAGATTAGAGTTGAAGCTGATTTTAGTTGAAACAAATGAAAATGTATACTGCCATACACTGAAACAAATACTGTATCTCCTACGAGGACGACGGTCCAATACTCTTCGAAGCCGTTCCAGCATTTCTTCTTCAGTAAATATTCTACCAGAGGAGCCTAAGAAGGCACTTCTTCGAACCGGGGGAGACCAAAGTCCACTCTTCGAATAATCAAAGTTGAATTCAGACACATCGATAAACTTCTCGAGAAGGCGGTCGGACACAGGTTTAGAAACAACTTGAACCTTAACAGGAGATGGCTGGGGCAAATTAGAAGGTGAAGATGAAAAGATTTCAAAGTTAGACATTGATACAAAAAACAATCCAGAGCAAAATAAACTCCAAAAAAGAGAACAAGAACAAATAAAACGATGTTGGGTTTGAATTTTAGGAATTAAGCTTACAATCTGCAATTTTGTTTTAATTTTTTTCCGTTGTCGGGTGAAGCTAGCAAAGATCGTTACGAAAATGTGCTTTAATCGGGTAGATCCATTTGGTTAAAGTTTGGGTTCCTTTTTATCATTAAAACATGAAAGATGGAAGAGACCCTCTACTCTAGGACCCTACACCCCATATCCAAGTTCCTATGTAAGTGTCAAATCATCCTGTAAATTGAGTTGAATTTGTGGCAAGAAATCTACAACGATCATTATTTTGAGGAACAAGGCGCTGCAGCTGTTTAGTTTGGTGACACAAAAATATTTATGCTCACTATGCTGCAGGACTGACATAGGAAGATTCAAGTATTGCAAAGCTAAAAAAAAAAAATAAAAAAATTAAAGAATGTGTGCAGTTTATGACTTCCATCTTCTGAAAATTTTGAACTTCTGGTGTACCTTTTACCAAAAACAATCTTTTTTTTAAGGTAATTACATTGAAGAATTATCTTTTCAAACTTTAATAATCTATCAGATATTCTTTCATATTAATTATTGATCTAACATCTTTTGTATAAAGGCGGCCCCTGAAGCGCGTCTTACGTTGATCTGGCGTCACGTAGGGTAAGACGCTCCCTTTGAAGCGCGTCTTATGCTGATATGTATACACGCTGGCTAAGGCGAAGCTTCTGGGGCTCGTTTTATGCCACGTAGAGGTATAGCGCGGTACAGAGGTCACGCTTTCCTTACATAATTTCATCCGAACTTCTCGACTTTAAAGCATCGTTTCTCCACTATAAATACTCCTCTTTTGTCTATAACAACCCCCTCTCAACCGAAAAACTACTACAATAATTCTCTCAATCAGTAAAAAACACCAGACAATCATTTTATATTTTATTCAAAAGTTCGTTCGATCTTTCATTATAAGGTAATTTTTTTATAATTATATATAATTGTTTGAAAAAAAATATTGTATTAATTGTTTTTTAATTAAATTTTGTGGTTGTAAAATTGGAAAGCGAGAGCATACGTCGAAATATTTTTTCCGATACGGTAATAATATAAAATTATATTATTTAAATTATTTATGTTTATGTGTAAAATTATTTACGTTTATGTGCAAAAAATTTATTATTTTATATTTTCGTTAATATATTATTTATTTAATTAAGTTTGTTTCAGATTTTTTTTTGCAGATATAATATTGTCGCACTTTCAAACTCTAAAAATGACGCGAATTTCAATTATTGTTTATTATGATAGAGAAATTCGAGAAGATGAAACCGGCATTGTTTTCGTATCAAATCATTATGTTAAAATATCATTCAAGAGAAACATAACTCTTAAGGAGCTGATAACAAATATTTCAAAGAAGGTTTATGTTGGAAGTACTAGAAGAATGTTGTCGTTGCAGTATAGATTTCCAACATCATTGTTGGCATTAACTTATACAGCGTTTGAACTATCGAACAATAATGATGTTGAAATGATTGTTGATTCTCAAAGTAATTATTCAGACGCCGATATTGAGATGTATGCAAAGTTTGTTCAAGTGCGTGTTGTTCGGGGTCTGTCATTAAGCTCCCACTATGGGATGACTGAACAAGTTGATCAAGTTGACACCCGACTACAATAATGTGTAATGATTTTAATGCCATAATGGGAAATCTGCATCATGCTATCGTCCCATCAACTTCAATGGGGAAACATTCATTAACAACTCCTTATGATATGTACCGAGGTAGATCCACGAACAATCTGTATGGCAACATCACGTACAGTTCAAGGGGAAGACATTCATCTGTAAATTTCGTTGACCTTAATATGGAGATGCCCTCGACGTAACAATCTGTGTAGTTTTCATTTGATATGATGGCTTCAAGCTCCATGGGAAGCATTCGACTGCGAGCCTTTTCGATCTCAATGTCGATATACCTTTGTAGACACCCATTTTCTTAAAAGATAAAACTAGTAAGAGTTCATCTCCTAAGAGGACTCTTCCACTACCATATCTTTTAAAGCAACAACCACATCAACAAACGTGCAACAACCGAGCAAGGAGTCTAGTTGCATTAGGATTCTATTGTTAATAGGATTCTAAAAATAGTTAGTTGTTTTCACTATAAATACATGTAATCCTCCCCATTTGTAAGACACAGATTTACATACAAGATACAGAGGAAAACACGAAAAAAATACAAAAGCAAAGCTATTGTAAACGATTCGAAAAGGAAATAAAAGATAGTATTTTTTCATTGAATCGTTCATTTCTCGCATGTGCATATTATTTTTCTTGAGATTTGGTTCGAATAACCTAAAGCGTGGGTTGCGCCGATGACCAAAAAGGGGTGGGGTTTCGAAGTTTCAAACCTAGATATACTCCCGAGACATGTTCATTTTTTTAAAAGTATTTAATATTCCCCCTAAGTGAATCTTAATCTTTAATTTACCTTGAAATTTACC